TCAACTTTATTCATAAATTCATGTTTTAAAAATTTCACGAATTCAAGATTTCATCTTCACGAAGTTGAGTCCTGAATTCACAAAGTTGAAATCGTGAAATTAAAAACGAGAATGCATGAAGTTGAAATCGCTTCACCGCTGTTGATTTTAAGATATAAACGAGACTAAAACATTAAACCGTAAAAATGAATAAACGGTCCTTTATTTAGCACTGAAAAAATATTTTTGTACCCATTTCTTCCCGTCCAAAATATAGGACCTCTTACATTCTCAGCAATACCTGATCATTTTTGTATTCATAATTTATGGCCATTTAGGTTTGGAACAAAAGAGAGCAAATATTACATTCAAAAACTCTTGTACACTGTAAGTATAATTAGCCCGGTTCAGATTTCAATTTCCTATCTTCACACAGAACTGTGAAACATTTACATTGTCACCGTGAAATGTAAAAATGTAATATTTGCTTAACCAAACCGTAGTGTGGTCAACGGAATACCTATAACACTTTATATAGACCGACAAAGAATCAAACATTTCTGCTTAAAGTAAATATTAAACAGATTTTCACGAATGAAGTAAACGTATTGACAAAGTTAAATAAAAGTTTGGTAATAATACGTTTATAAATACAATATTTGTTTAAGAAAGAGCAAAGAAGAATATAATAAGTGTTTGTAATTGGACGCGAAAGCAGAATTTTCTCCGCATGAAAAGCCACTTGAAAATGGCAAAAAACATGAAAAGATTTGTTATTAAGTGCGATAATGAGATTGTAAATTGAGTTTATTCGTACAAATATTTACCTTATAAACATATGCTGTTTTGAAACATAGTATCATATAAAGAAATAGGACGAACTGTAGTACTAGATTATAGTCTGATTAAGGGAACAAATCTTTTGTTAAAGTCGTGAACATTCGGTGTATTTCGCTAATTTCTATGACTTATTCAAAAGAATAACACCGATATTGACCAGAACAATTTCGGCATAATTCGGCAATATCCGTTATCCGCCGCAAATATATCCAAGAGCACCATAGATCTTTGAAATTAAATGGTTTTATATCTAAATATTACATTCAGAATGAGACGGAGGTTGCCGAACTTATGGGGGCTATAAATAGATGATTTATCTTTGATACAACACGGAGTAAATGACCTTCATGTTTATTATGTAACAATGCAATGCATCCTTATTGATGTAAATGAGATAAATAATACAGTTCTGCTTCATTTTAACCTAGGTGCTGTTTTCCTTAAGATCACTAACTTATCTGGTTTGAGATAGTACAATGCTTATGTTTTTGTATTATAATTATATAACAAGGACAAAAAGTTATATTCATGTTATACAAAGACAAATGTATAAAAGTTACCCTCAGATGATTTATATGTCTGTTTTGATTAAATAAGTTTTATAACGTTTCGTTTACACCTCGTACATATTAGACTTGATAAACACTTCCTAGATCGTCTTTTTTAATCAATTTTATTTGTACATATTTTCTTAACGAAATGTTTAAAGACATCTAATAAAAATGAAAAACACCGTATTTACCAAAGTTAATACATGCATACTTTGGTAAAACAATCGAATGTTTGATACATTTAACTAAACTTATATCCGTATTTCAAAATTGATTGCTAAATTTGAATAAACTTTGAGATAAAAAGACAAGCTTATCTCTGAGAAAATCATCCGCAGATCTACATTTAAATCTTGTATCAATAAAATATCTTATCTATAATAATCGAAGCTGTCGAGGGGTCTTGTTCAGACAAGTGCGCATAGTCCGTGCAAACAAAGCGTCCGTCATACGGTAGTCTTGACAGGTTTCTTATTAAAATTAGAAACACTTATTACACGGCATGTTTGTACTATCGGTTCATGTTTAAACTCATGAATAATATATAATACTCATGTAGCTATGTATAAAGTTATGAATATTAAACTATATATATAGTCATGTAACTATCTTTACCTGTTATGAATTTATAAACCCACTCTCCGTTAAATATGTAATAAAAGCGACAAAAACAGAATATGGTAACATTTCTGAGTAAGGTCGCGAATTATGATGATTATTATTAAGCGTTCAAGCGAATTTAAAAATAACGATGACTTTGTGAGTAATACACGTATATTGTTAACAGTTAGAGGAAAAATGAGAACCTCGCGATTTATGACGAATATTTGTTAGCCTTAAAGTGAATTCAAAAATAACGACCCCTGTGTACGTAAAACAAGTATATTGGGAATGGCTGGAAGAAAAAAATCGCGAATTATGATGACTTTTTTTTTTGCATTTAAAAGAGAATTGACGATTCCCTTGTACATAATACAGGTAAATTGTGAATGATTATAAGAAAATATCTTTCTTAGAAGATTCGGCAGTGACCCTGACTACCAATAACTTTAAAGTGGTGAGGTGTTATCATTTTAAATCTTTCAAACATAAAAAAGAAAAAAAAAACATTCTCGGTATGTTATATGCATTGATATTTCCTTAATAAATTCTATTTTTGATTTGAATGAAGATGTCGCAATTAATATTGATGTAATGCGGTTTTGTTGCACCTTTAAGATGAGAATAAGGATTAGACCAACATCAAACACTTGTTTTAATATTCATTTATTAAGTGCTCTGTCGATGTTTTACAAGATTGGTCGTGAAACAAGATAAATTAAAAAACTATCTTCCACTTTAATACAATTTTCTTTTCGATTTCGCTATGAACATATTTCTAAATATGTGTACAAGCGTATTTGAGTTAAAACCACAGTAGCATAAATAGTTTAAACGTAATGTGTCCTAAAGGCTTCTATTACATTGGTAGAATGACAATGTATCTAAAACCATGTGATGTGTACATGTTTACGTGATCCCCATCTCAAACATAAGATCATCACCAATCCTTTATGCAATATTAGCCTATATCATGCACGGACAAACAGATGGACGGACAATTTTACATTTCTATGTATCAATGTTTCCTATACCACTAAAGAATTTCACAATATAAACTATTGAATATCCACTCCTTTATGCAATATTAACCTACATCATGCACGGACAAACAGATGGACGGACAATTTTACATTTCTATGTATCAATGTTTCCTATACCACTAAAGAATTTCACAATATAAACTATTGAATATCCACTCCTTTATGCAATATTAACCTACATCATGCACGGACAAACAGATGGACGGACAATTTTACATTTCTATGTATCAATGTTTCCTATACCACTAAAGAATTTCACAATATAAACTATTGAATATCCACTCCTTTATGCAATATTAACCTACATCATGCACGGACAAACACATGGACAGACAGTGTCACATTTTTATGTATCAGTGTTTCCTATACCACTTAAGAATTTCACAATAAAAGCATTCCATATGCAACAGAAACTGAAATTGCGACATCAACATGCAATGACATTTCTTCGATTCTAGCAACCAAACGTACCATGTTAAAACCAGCGCTCCCTACAAAAGTATGCCATGTATTGGATGGGCTCTGATCAAAGTCATTGGGCTTAAGAATAGTTGGTACCTAGATACTAAACAAATTAGAGTGACCATGTAACAGTAGCACAGTTATATGCCAGACACATCATAGGGGTGTTTACAGTAAACTTCACAAATTATTTATCATTTTAGTGATTATCCTGTCCGTGCTCTGCCTTGTGCCCTGTCCTGTTTATGTTTGGTGTCCGCCTGGGCACCTTGTCGCTGGTTCTTGTTGCTGGGTCGTGTGGGGGTTGCGTTCATTGGACGCCGCCTTTCCTTGTTGATCTTGTTTATCATATTTCAAACGTTAATGCCATGGGAAATCCTAAGACTAATATTTTAATCGTTTAATTTACCATACTAAAATATTATTAAGACATGTTACAATGAAACTCACGTGAAATGGTACCGTTTCATTTTAAGAAAATATATGACGTATAAGAAACGTTAAATATATATTTACTTAGAAGGGGAGGCAAAGGGATGATTAATCTTTTTAACATGAGACTTTTTGTGGGACTTTTTTGTATTAAGGAATTGCAGACAATTTACGCACTTTAAACTCACATTCAAGGGTCTAGTAATGAAAAATACATGCGGTTTAGTTAAGACATAACAATTACATGAACCTTTTCAAGCAGTTGCATAATGCCATTAAAAATCTTAATTATTATAATTATATGTAAATTTTATGTAAAGTATGCAAATTCTTGATGACAGTGATGTTTGAGAAATAATTGTTTTCTAGTGCAAATTAAAATTTTTACATAATTGCATTTTTACGCCTTGTCTTATTTAACCTAGAAAAAAAAACGAGCTGTCTATTTCTGTTGATTTAAGATGCAGTTCTCGGATATGTACATGTCCTCGGATAAGTTCTCGGTTACTCGCCTCTTTAACCACCCATCAATACAATTTTAATAATTTTAACAGTGAATTTTGTACCCGGTATTTCACTGACCTTTTATATATCTCATCAAATGAACACCATTTTCAGTGAGTGCATGTGTCGCCCAAAACAGTAATTCTTTTATTACTTACGTCATCATTTCACCAGTAGTTTTCTGTTTACTGTATATGAACTGGTATTTTAATGCTAAATTTGTCATAAATTGATATAACGTATCATTTATGAAATAGTTATTACGTATGGTCAAATATGGGCAGTGATTTGACACCACAAAGGTTTTTGTACAATATCTTTCTGTTGACAGTTTTGTAACAAATGCCTCTTATTATAAAATGAAAAGATCTATCATCAATAAATGGACTCCCGAATCAAAAATGCTACACTTGTATACCATACACATGGCCAAGAGGTCTGGACACATTGAATGTTCAGACCGATACGCAACTGTATTGCTTGAATAGGCCTTCCATAATTTTCTGCTTTCTCAGAAAATGGAAAAGAGATATGATTTTTATGAGTTGTATATTTGTCATAATTAAATGCATTCGTTTGTTTTTTTCAGAATGGAGTTGGTATGGCATGGGGAGTTTGATAGACTGTTTTCCCAGTATTTCCCACACATGTGGTGCCTTGTACCGACCTTCTACCCGCCCGGTGACAGCTGGAGAACCTTCAAAGATAGCGCCAAAGTTCGATTCTCTTGCCAGGTAGGCACTTACCATTCATAAATAATTCAGGAGACTTTTCGGGGGCCTTCGCCATTTTAAAAGATATCCTTTTATAAAACAGAGCCTTAAATCTATCTACATGATGGGTAATTAAAATAGAGGAATATCCTGTCTGCATATTTGTTTTAATTTATAACTTATCAATTTGGCTGCGGATTATCAAGTCATTGTGCAAGACAAAAGTTAATTGCTTACTATGTGACGACACTTGCTAGAACTAGAACCGTGTCCTATGTCCATAGGACAACGAGCCTCGACATTCCATTGTTCTGGAGGCCACGAACGGACAGTGTGACAGCAATAAATTCGGGCAGCTTGACAGCGGTACGGATGGACAGGGGCTTTTCTATATCCCCTATTCAAAATTGGGGCATAACCTCCATTCATTAACAAGGGCTTCATGCTATTGTTTTGATTTTTATTTAAACTGACCAGATTATAATCCACTCTTACATGCTTAAAGAGATGTTTAATTCTTTTAAATAACTCATTCAGCACAACTTCAAGTCTCTTTATTTCCTATTGTATGTTCTACTTAAACGCAAAAGTGGGGAGAATATTCTGATATTTTAAACAAACTTTTGAATGAAAACTTCTCATATCTAATAACAGAACCTTAACATGGGAAAATAATACACTTGCAGAAACTATATAAGTGCTTTAAATTCAAAAGACAAAAATAACTCCATAAAATCAGACATATATTTAAATGTAACTTCACTTTATCTTTCTATTTCAAAATACCACTTGACATAAGGAGCCTATAATTTACGATAGGTATATATAAACTGCAAGTTTTTATAGAAAACAAACATCATGGCCAAACAAGCATGTTTGTATATATGAACTAGTCATAATTTAAGCTTTTCGTTTGGCTATCGCCTACTTTAAATTGTTCTAACCGAAATATGTACCCATTTTTCAAATGTAAGGGGACAAACTCTTGAAATATTTTCGTGATAAAAGCTAAGGAGTTTTGTCTGGGTTGGTTTGTCAATACATTATAGAATATAGCAATTGGTACATCTATCATTCCCTTTAAGTTTTATTGATGTTAGCTACAACATTTGATGATATGGGTTAAAAAAAACCCAAACTAATTGTTGTTAATATGTATTGCTTAATTACTTTTCAGTATTACTAATACATGTTTGTTTTAAACATCATACCTGCTTACCTCATTTTGACGAAAGTATCTTTCTGACACTTAATAGCATTTATTCTATATAGGATTGCGGTCATGGATGGACATCAATGAAAGGCCGTGTGATCTTTTGGTTCGAGCTAAACTACGCTACCAACGCCGGCTGTGTCATGTTCAAGCTGTACGGACAACAATGCCAGAAATGCAAGACCGGAAAGTTCGAGCACGCAATGTGGTACCCGGAAGAAGTTGTCAAGGTAAAGAAATTATTTTATTATGATTTCATTAATATTGTCAATAAACTCTAAAAGAAAACAAACAATTCTTTCTTACATACATGTTGCTTAACTCAAATTAAGATATTATCTTTAAGCACCTATCAATATATACATGTAGAATAACGTAGAATCATGAGTGTCATACAACTACCTAGCTAACTGATGTTTATATCAATATCATCACTCATTGTTTAAATATAGATTTTTAAAAATATATCTTATCAATTTTCCAGGTCATCGGCAACGTTTATAACAGAGTTGGTCAGATCTACTATGGATTTGTAAGACCACCTCTAAGAATAGACAGACGTGTTGGAAAACCGAGAAATCAACATAATTCCGAGCTTTGCCAGGCATGCAAAGAAGGACTATGCAAAGAGGAGTGGTCTTTCACGTGACGTCATCGTGATGTCATAGAGCATGAAATCAAATAGAGCCAATCGCCGCAGTTTAAACTCGCCTCGTGTGACATTTTACCATTTTTCTATGATGCAATGACCTGCGGGACGATGTTTATGACAATAAATGGCAAACGTTTATCAGTAAACGATTGTGAATATTACTTTTATGTGAAAGAACAAATTATACGTTTATTATTAATATATAACAAAAAATTGAACAAAAATGTTTCTAAAATTATTATTTTTTGTTTTATTATTATCTAGTTTATTTTGCATTTAACTTTTTTTTATTTTGTATGAAATGAGACCGTCTTTAAGACGGCATGTGAAATTCTGTGAATGAATTGTTTAGCATAATTTTTGTTTGTAATTTGTTATGAACGATTGTTTAATGATTGTTGTAGCTTTAAAAGTTTTGGAGTGGGATATTGTTTTCATCAAAACGAACGTGCTAATTGCTCGAATCAATGTGTTTCAAATTCCATATTTTTATCCGTATTTTATCACATGTTTCAAGTATTTTAGTTGATACATTTTGCATTTCATATCATTCATGGTAGCGGTTGAAAAGTACATTATAATGTTTTGTTTGCATTGACATTTTTTTTAATAAACATAACACAATGTGATAATTTAATTACTAAAAAAGATGATGTTAAATCCTTATTTACTCAAACAAACCAAATCTAGAAAAAAATTAATAGAAACTAATACCTTACACTAAGAAGAATTTGGATAAACGACTTTATGGCTTTATTATAATTACCTATTATTTGAACTACACTTTAAAGTGTATAAAGCTATACATGTATATCTGCAGTGAAAATTTTTTTCCCTTATTTTAAACAATCATACTTCCAAAAAACTTGCATGAAAAAATATGGTACTAAATTTCCTTAAAAGATGTCGCATAAATAGATTCATTGCCTAATGGATAAAACTCTAAAATAGCAGAATAATATTTTGTTGTGGAACATTTTATTCTGTTTACATATAATATGCATAAATAACATACCCATAATTTGTTACATTTCTTTCGAGAATGCACCATAACATCATGGAACCAAATATTTATTTTACGGACAATAAATTTAATAATAAAACATTTCATAAGATATAGTTTTGCACCCTTTAATATTTATTTGACTGTAAAAACAATATTGGGGCTCAAGCATCGCTTTTAAGATATTTCGTTGCTATATCATATGATTTACATTACTACTTTTATTGTAAATACCATTGTATTAGATGTCAAAATATTTCACTTGACTCGCTTTAGCTTTTTTAATGCATTGAAACATTTACATTATTTTCAAAAACAAATTTTATAATGCATTATACAATATATTTTCCTAGATATTTCACTAAAGCATTAAACAATATATTTTCCTAGATATTTCACTAAATCAAAATAAATTTATGTTCACATTCCGATTATCATTTTTTTCGTCATCATTTTTTATATTACATGTAGTTTTAGTCATCTTTAGTATGCTGCATACCTCCATATTGCTCTACACTTTGTTCATCAAAAAATAATGTTAACAAAAGTGTCAATTGAACTGGGGCATGTAAACATTTTGTGTGTAGTTATAGGTATATACAAATTTTAATTACACAAAATGAAATTAGCTTTTACTTATAAATATGAACACCATGTGCTTGGTTTTGAAACCTGAACATCTTTTATTATCAGTACTAACTAGCTAATTCAATGCATTTTGTACTGAACTCAGCCATTAATTTGAAGTTCAACATTTTTACCTTTTGTTTTTTACATTACCAAAGTTGAATATAATGTTTTTTTTTACATTACCAAAGTTGGATCTAAAAAATAAGTTAATGGAAATCTTTGTAGTTTGTAACAAAACTAGCTTGTTAAAACTTTAACCAAAAAATAACTAAGAACAAAGAAAACAAAACAAACAAAAATATCAAGAAACAAATAGGCATCATCTTGTGCTTTACTTCTTTTATTAGTGCTTTATGCAAATCATTTTTCTTCATTTTTATCCGTAAGTCATATAGTATTCATACTTATTTTGTTTCCGATTTTTAAATTTTTATTTTGTTTGTAAATAGATAAATGAATTTTATTTGAATTATATTAATATATCTTTACACTCGTGAAGATTTAATTTTCTTTTTAAAGATTTTACTTATGTTTTCAATGTTTATGTTTGTTTAAAACTACAAATGTTTATTGTATAATTGTAATTAGTCTTAGCTTGATTCTAGATTAAAGTTAATTTAATTCTGCGTCGATTGAAAAAAGAGGACCACCAACGATGTTACAGTTCTTAAGTGAACTGTTTTCGGATGGAATCTGTTTGGATGTTTAGTGTACTTCGCGCAAGAGTTAATTTTAACATTTATTGTAATTTAGATGAAATCGGTGCATCGTTTGATTCCGCTTTATTTTTGTTGTTATTATTTCTTTATATAAAAAAATCATTATTTTTTGTTTCATTCAACTCTAGTTCATCAATCTCGGCAGTGTTACAACGAAGATTGCATAAAATTGCATAATTTGGGTTTCGATATCTTAATATAAAATAATGTCTATCAACACCACATTGTGCCATATCTTATAACAAAAAATGATGAAGAAGAAATATTACAAATACTAAAGCTTCGTTTTTTAATGACAAAAAGGGTTTTCTAAATTTGCTTATCTCTCAAATCTTTTTATATACTTTATAAAATAGAAATGTGTTCACGATATCAAATGTGCCTTTTCAATAAAAAACATCATCAAAACAATGTCTTATATTTTCTTTCTATTATGATTTTATCTTTGTTACAAATGAAACAAAACGATCTACATGATCTACGACCATTGCTGTGAATACCTTAAATCACCGTTGAAGAGAAAAACAACATGCAATCAGATATCCACATATACGTTACAAATGTCTTAATATCCACTGGACTTACAAAAACATAATATAATGAACCGACCACTATTTTGATTAGACGTTAGACATTGGATTCAAACTCTATTAATTTTATTAATTTAATTAAAAGATATCTATATCATCCAGTACAAAGCATTGTCTCGCAGCTACTACTTTTGGCTGATTTGCTCCGTGTCGTACTTTGCTCTGTTGCTCCGTGGGGTGCTAGTGAAAAACACAAAAAAAACCCGAAAGTTGACCACTTTGCCGTTTATTTGCTCCACTTTGTCGTATTTCATGTTTTCGCCTGGTGCCCCGCAAAGCAGAAGTACGACAGGCACAAATCAACCACCATAAGAAACATGTTTTAGTGTCGATCATCGAGTAACTTGCTTTTAAAATGGTCAACTATGCAACCGATATAGTATCTACATATATAATCTCATCTGATGACATTGCCATTATGAAAGAGAAGAAAGACAACTCATGACTTCATAAATAAGTAGAATAAATTGGATACTGTCCCTTATTATGCATGTCCAGTAAATTGAATATGAGAAAACATCATGATAGATAATATAAGTTACTGGTAGGGAGGAATGAATAACAATATTTCTTATTAAAACTATATTTACCTTCAAACGACTCTAAAAATTGTATCTCTTGCTCTACAATACCTTATCATCTTTCCGACAGCCAGACTTTGATTTTAAAATCGTATGACCGTGCGAAATCTTCATCTCTGCACAGTAGCTCCAGTTAGTTCAGTCATTTTGCTATCACTACATAAAAGGCGACACGACATTTACATTTTACACTTTTTGGGCCTTCAAGCTATGAAGCGAGGCTTCAATAACATAGAATAACCGACCTAAACTGATAAATATTTATTTATAGTCGCCGGAAACCCATATAGGTGCTTCACTTCAGTAGACTTAAAGTGGAGCATTCGTGCTATGGATCATGAAAAGAGAAATAACAAGTTATTGTATTCCATTTACGTTTTGAAGCGTTTTTTTTAAGAAAATGGAGTATGTTGTGTAAATTATTTTAAATGGCTCTTTTTATTTCAAATAAAATTTAGTATATAGCATACAAATATCTATAAACAACATTATTTGCGTTATGGACACATTGTAAATATGGTATATAACGCGGGTGCTACAAAGTGTCTTTAAAAACCCTCCTCCAAATACCTCCCGAGGCGTGCTCGTCGCGGAGAAGGCAAACGGCAGGTCAAGGTCAAGTCATCTCAAGTACCAGAGATAATTGGTTAACCCGCCGTAACCAACTCTGGAGGGGGCTTACAATACCTGTTCTTGTTAGATGATGCCTTGGAAAGTACATTTGTGTTGTTGTGTCCACTTACCACAACTGGACGAAGAACATGTCAGGGAAGATTGAGCTTGGAAAATTGCCGCTGATGTTTTCGCTACGTCCGGATCAGCAAGTGCGCAGATATTCCGGCCCAAATGCATTCGTTCCGGCGGCAATTATAAATAAACACAAAACGACAACTTGTCTTCTTAGAGATAACTTTAAAGTGCGTTATATAAACGACAGTGACGAGGATGTTGTTGGAATATATTCTTTCATTCAACTTTGAATCTGTCTTAAAATTCAGCAAATGTCAATGCGTTAGATAAAACAATATTATCAGACATTAATAACTCCCCAGTAGTGCTTATGCTGCTGACCGTTCCAATGCAGCACCCCTCTGTGTTCCTCAGATGTACGACTTGGTTATTGTTTCATGCTAATGTGTTAATACTTTGTTGTACCTTCTTGTTTTTTTTTCTCGTGTACGGCAAATATCTTCCATTTCCCCCTTAGTTTTTTTTCATCCCCCCTAACTTCCCCTGCCCTCATGTCCCTTCCCCTACACCCCGATACTTTAAATGTAGGCCAACTATTTAGTTGTCTTCTATAATTTCCTTGTCTGTTTCTATAAATTCCTATTCTTATTTTTTTTATCAACACCCGTCCAGGCTTTGCCTTGTGCCATATTCTGTTTTTGTTTGGTGTGTTATTCAGCTCTGTCTGTATTCGTGTGTTGCCGGGCCTTGAAGGGGGATACGTTCATTGCATGCCACCCTTCCTTGTTGTTCTTGTTTTGAATAGTATTTTTACTAAAAGAATAAATAAATTTTCTGGCATAACCTGTTTTTTTGTACTTGAAGGCAAGCTTTAAGACAAATGTTGCTTTTTTACACAGAACTCATTTTTAGTTTTATTGTTAAATCAAATTCACATTGATAGCTTTTATTGAATACGTTTTTTCTGCTTATTTTGGTTGTTTGAAACAAAATCATATCTTGAAAAATAAATGCAAAACAATAAGAGAACAACATTTGCACATTCTTATCAAATTATAACACGATTAAAGAACACTTCTTGTAAACAATAGCTACATGTATAATTTGAACAATTCGTGATACAGATTTCATTAAAATAATATTTGTTTTGTTTTTTTTTTTTTTAAAATTAAATTCTATTTGTTTTCTATTAAGGAAGTGCAGGAATGATGTAAAAATTACTTTTGAAGTTTAAACTGTTCCGAGAAGAGTACACAATCAATTGTACGCAAAAAGCCCAAACTTCATTGAAACCAAATTAGATTTAATCTAAACAAACTACTGCATCAAAATAATGCTGTCTTAAGGGAAATCTTTTCGTTTTGTTTGTTAGAAATATGTGTTTCTTTTAAATT